GATCAGCTGGGACTCAGGAGGCAGAGAATAGATGGGGTTGGTGGGGCCAGTCAGAGGGGGCATTTTCAGGATGAATAATAGGCCCGTTTCATCACTTCTTGTATTACAGAAAGTGACGAAATGGGCCTGTTATTCATCCTGAAAAGCCTCGCAGAGGCTTTTTTCCAAGCCTCCGGGAGGCCGAAAAAGGCCTCAAAACAGCCGAAAAATCAGCTGTGAGCCACATGCATGCACAGTGAAGTAAGTTTGCCTGCGGCTCGTGTGCCGGCACAAATGGCTCTGCGTGCCACTTGTGGCAGGAGTGCCATAGGTTCACCATCACGGTTATAGCCTATTCAGCATTGTCTGTCATCGTATATCATTATTACAGTATCGTTTAATTTCTCCTTTATTTTCCAACCATCCACAGAATAGATCCCAAATCTTACAATACTGTTTTTCTTCTTGCTCTCTAATTCCTTATGTTAATCTACTCATTTCTGCACATTCCAATATTTTCTTAATCACCACCTCCTCCATCGGAATTTTCTCATTTTTCCAATTTTGAGCAAGTACAATTCTAGCTGCTGTTAATACATGTATAATCAAATATGTTATTTCTTTGTTACAATTCTCAGGCAAAATCCCCCATGAAAATATCTCAGGCTTTAAATCTATATGTTGTTTTATCATTTTTTTCCAACCCTGTATGTATTTTAGTCCAATATCTTTTAGCTTCTGTGCATGTCCACCACATATGATAGTAATGATCCAGGTATCTGATGACATTTGAGTTGGAAGGGACCTTGTAGGTCATCTAGTACAACCCCCACCACCCAAGCAGGAGACCCTACACCATTTCTTAACTCTCCTCTCTGGCTTTTCTCTCGGCAGGTTCCGTGTCCTGGCCCGGAGCATGTCCGCCTTCCTGCTGGTTCAGGTTCCAGTAGAGAATCAAATCCGGTTGAGATCTGGGGTGGAATTGCAATTGTCTGCTAAAGCTCAACAGGTGCGTTGGGTTCTTGGTCCCTCTCAGGGGTTGGTCTCACTCTTGTCTCAACCCTTGTAAATACTCGTTCAATTCGTTTCAATGGTGAAAAAAAGTAAGGTTCTACATTTAGGCAAGAAAAACCAAAATGCACAGGTACAGTATAGGATGGGACCTCACTCACTAGTAGTAACTGTGAGAGGGATCTTGGAGTCCTAGTGCAGTGGTCCCCAACCTTTTTTGTACCAGGGACCAGTTTCACGATTATTCATTCTTTGCGGCCCGGTACAAAATGATCCACGGACCGGTACCTGCATCAGCACGCACGACCAAGGCAAGGCGAGCCGAGCGACCGGCCACCCAGCCGTCCCCCGCTTCTCCCTGCCACCTTCAACTCCTCCTTTGTACCTTCTCGCGGTCGATGGGCTTTTCGGGCTCTTTCTTAATCTCCTCCTAAGTAACGCGAGACTCCACCGTCATTGGGACGGCTCTTCGTTCGAAGCCGCCCCCCCCCTTCGACGAAACTAAGGCGTGAGGATTCCTTCAGCACCCAAACGCCGCTTTCCAACCAACGACCGACAAGCTCACCCGGAAGCACTTTCTCAAGCGCCGTCGAAACAAGATGGCAGCGCCCAAGCAAAGTAGGCCCTACTTTCATTCTTTGCGGCCCAGTACAAAATGATCCATGGACCGGTACCGGTCCGGGGCCCGGTGGTTGGGGACCCCTGTCCTAGTGGGCAGCATTTAAATATGAGCCAGCCGTGTGCTGCAGCTGCCTCAAAAAGCCAACACAGTTCTACGCTGCATATACAGAGGGATAGAATCAAGATCATGTGAAGTGTTAATACCACTTCATAATATCTTAGTGAGACTACACTTGGAATACCGCATCCAGTTTTGGTCTCCACAGTGTAAAAAAAGATGTTGAGACTCTAGAAAGAGTGCAGAGAAGAGCAACAAAGATGATTAGGGGACTGGAGGCTAAAACATATGAAGAACAGTTGCAGGAACTCGGTATGTTTAGTCTAATGAAAAGAAGGACTAGTGGGTGATATTATAGCAGTCTTCCAATATCTCAGGGGCTGCCACAAAGAAGAGGGAGTCAAGCTATTCTCCAAAGCATCTGAGGGTAGGAGAAGAAGCAATGGATGCAAACTAATCAAGGAGAGAAGCAACCTAGAACTAAGGAGGCATTTCCTGACAAGTGAGAACAGTTAATCAGTGGAACAACTTGCCTCCAGAAGTTGTGAATGCTCCCACACCAGAAGGTTTTAAAAAGATGTGCATAACCATTTGTCTGAAGTGGTGTAGGGTTTCCTGCCTGAGCAGGGGGTTGGACTAGAACAGTGGTCACCAACCCGTGGGCCAGGGATCATGGGTGGTGTGCAGAGAAATGTCACCCCCAAAGCAATTAATCCAGGCTGTGCAGGAACACAAGGCTTGTGTCGCTTGCATTGCGAACAATACAAGGTAGTGAGGGGAGCGGGGAAAAGGCAGAAGGGGGGAACTTGCCCCATTCGTCCCACGCGCCTCTCCTTGCCACCCGGCTGCCTCTTTCCGCTGCTTTCTTCTGCTGCTTTTGGCTGCACACAAGGAAAGCAGCAAAAGTCTTCCCCCAAATTCCACCAGAAATGAATCTTTGGGACCCTGCAAGGCCTCCTGCTCCTGCGCCTGCAAAGGCTCATTTCTGGCAGAGTTTGGGGGAGAGAAAGAAAGACTTCTGCTGCTTCTGCTGCTTTCCTTGCATGAAGCCAAAAGTCTCTCTCTTCCCCTGAGAATGGAGCTGGAAACGGTATCCTGCGATCCCAAATAAAGAATGACCGATTGATAGGAAAACGGGGTGGGGAATTTTCCTGCAGACTTTTGGGGGAATTTTCCCAGGGTCTCTGGTCTGCGGGATTTAAAATTGTGACTTTGGTGGTCCCTGAGGTCCAAAAGGTTGGCGACCCCTGGACTAGAAGATCTCCAAGGTCCCTTCCAACTCTGTTTTTTTTTATTTCTACTCGTCAGAAACTCTGCCAATGTGTGGCTTGTCAATTGGAAATGATCAACATGTCAATTGGAAATGATGGGTTGTCAATTGGAAATCTGTATTGCAAGAGAACTCCTAGCCATAACGACTTGCTTCATTAATCCATCCACTTGACATGTTTTATGTCTGTCTTTGTAGGCTCTCAATGCTTTGGACTCTCTGGCGTCAAACAAACAATATGCGGAATACCAAGGGCAGATCCTCCAAGCATCGCAGTTCATCAGAGACTCTCACCATTGCCTTCACCACGGGACTCAGCTTCTGGCTATCCTCCTCAACACTTTGTACGCGGAAGTGCGCTACTTGGACGCGATACGATAACAGGAAGCAAGCCGGAAGGTGGTTGCTTCTTGCTCTAATCATGGATTATGTTCAGTTTACAGTCGGAGATCGTGTTGCACAAGGGATTGGCATTCCCAGGATTCTGCTGGTCGTCGGAGACGAAAGGACGAACGGAGAAAGGGAGGGAAAATTTGAGTTCCCATTGCCGTACTTTGAAAGCGATTGGGAAGCCCTTGGCTTCCTGCCAAAAGGCCAACCGCGGCCGTTTCCTTGGGGTCTGTTCAGGAGAGCCCCTTGTGGTGCCTCAAGGAAGTTAGCTTTGTTTAAAGGCCATTTCTCACCGTTATCTATTTGACTGCCTTTTTGTTCACCCTTTTTCACACTTTGCTCTTGTGCCATCATCGTCTCCGTTGTCGTTATCTTCTTCTTCTTTTTGAATGTGGAACTTGTGGCCCCGTTTCCATCTCAAAATGCTGGATGGTCCTTTGGTTTCCTGCTCTCCTTAATTTTTTCTCCCTTCTTTCCCCGGAAGTGAATGCTTGCCCCAATTGGGATGTTAAAAAATAGATCCCGTCTGCGAATTAAACCGGAGACTGGTTTTGTTGTTGTTGTTACCCTGTCTACAATGCTGTATTTATTGGTGGAAGGATATTAAGAAGGGAGACACTCCCGTGAAGTTTGCACAATTGAGCCTACTTGGAATAAATCACTTGTTTTCCCGATGACTCACTTGCCCTAAAATAACAGCGAGCCGCAATATTTGGAAGAGCGTAGAGAACGTATAATTGGATTAATTACAAGGGGTGGGATTATCTTACCTTAAGACAATTTAATTTAGAACAATATAGATTTCTTGCCACAGGTGGCTGTTCAGAGTTTTGCAGCGTTAATTCAGCACCAGAAAAAAATAAACACAGGTGACTGATGCTTCATTTATAAACATAATAAGTAGATTTTACAAACCAGTTGTAGATTTCTCCAACATGGAGCAAACTCAAGACAGAAACATGTTGCAAGTAACTTCAGTAGCAACTCAGGAGCTCAGAAACAGACATCGGTTTCACTTTCGTTCACAGCAGAGCTCCAGTCTTCAGCAAGCAAGCAAGTAAGTTTCTCTTTTACTTTAGTTCAGCAGGCAAGCAAGAGGAGAGAAGTAGTTTCATTTTAAATAGACAGACTCTGAGCTCAACATAGCTGCAGAGATGCAGAGGTTAATAAAGAGCCATGCCTAGGCTACTTCTAGTTTCAGTTTCCAGCCTAGGCTACTTCTAGTTTCAGTTTCCAGCCTAGGCTACTTTTAGTTTCAGTTCCCAGCCTAGGCTACTTTTAGTTTCAGTTTCCAGCCTAGGCTGCTTCTAGTTTCAGTTTCAGCCTAGGTTACTTTTAGTTTCAGTTTCCAGCCTAGGCTGCTTCTAGTTTCAGTTTCAGCCTAGGCTACTTTTAGTTTCAGTTTCCAGCCTAGGCTACTTCTAGTTTCAGTTTCCAGCCTAGGCTACTTTTAGTTTCAGTTTCCAGCCTAGGCTACTTTTAGTTTCAGTTTCCAGCCTAGGCTACTTCTAGTTTCAGTTTCAGCCTAGGCTACTTCTAGTTTCAGTTTCCAGCCTAGGCTACTTCTA